CACAGGGTGAGTCAAATGCCATACCAGTGCTTCATTCTGTAAATAGCCTTGGGGCTCAAATGCAGACTGTAAGCCTGTGGTGCTTTTCTTTGCAGAAAAATCTGTGATCCTGGCTTGACCTCATTTGAACCTGAAGCACTGGGGAACCTGGTTGAAGGAATGGATTTCCATAAGTTTTACTTTGAGAACTGTGAGTGGGTAGATTTGGTAACACCAACAGCTTTCTGTCTAATCTTCCTTTATGCCACATTTTTTAGGAAAATTGCCCTCTAGTTTTTACTGGTTATCAGAACCAGCCAGAACCTGTTTGTGCATGGGTTATAATGGCCAGCATGCTTTCTCTAAAAAACCTTTTTCAGCAACAATTTTAATTCTAACCCCCAGATTCCTTCACTGTAGGCATACAGTTTTCCTGGTGCAAGTATTTTGTAAGCAGGGACTGCAGGATATTTAAAAGATTGAGGCACTGGATTTCCTACTGATCTGGAAATGGAGAAAATGAGTGTATTTTGATGGAAACAACATGCATGTTTGAGGCAGACATACTGAATGGCCAAACATCATCGTGCACAAATCAGTCATGCCTTGGCTTTGAGTTTTGCCTGGACAGTTTCAGATCTCTAACACCTAATGAACCTGTTTCATGGATACAAGGATCACCTTGTCAGTCTAGGGCAGGAAAAAGAGTTTGGAGAGATGTTTGTCATTAATTGTAGTGGAATTGCTTCCCTTCCTGGATGTTTCCACAGGAAGAGAAATTGAAATTTAAATCCTGAGCTGTTTTATTTTGGGGGTTAGGTCAAGGTCCTTAGTAGAGCTAATTCCTAGTGTTCTAAATACACAGAGACTTTGTCTTTCTCAAAAGCCTTTTCTGGAGTACTTTTAATACTTCTTTGAGGCTTGTTCATATTTAATACAGGCCTAGCTTAAAGATCTCCTGATTATTGACTTTTTTTCAACAATATTCTATTGTTAAAATATCTTTTCCTATAACTGAAGAAACAGCAACACTGATGTTGAAAAAGTGGCAAGTATGCTTTGCAGAAGAAGTGGGAGAAAAGGGCCCAGGGGATTCTAGGCAGTAATAAGTGCACAGTTCCTGAGGAGAACAATAGGTTATAGGGGAAAGAATTGCTTGGATTTTGCCTGAAAAATTGCACAAGCCATTTTTATTGGATCCCAGAATCCAGTGGAAGGTGAGAATACAATACAGGTTGGAGGATGCGGGGGGCTGTTCCTTCCTGGTAGTAAAATGAAGCTGATGGTTTTGCATGTTCTGCCAGTACTGTCGAAGAACAGCAAGCCAATACACACCACCATCCTGAACCCCCACGTCCATGTCATCGGTGAAGATGCTGCCTGCATCGCCTATATCCGCCTGACACAGTACATTGATGGCCAGGGCCGGCCCCGCACCACGCAGTCTGAGGAGACCCGTGTTTGGCACCGCCGAGATGGCAAGTGGCTGAACGTCCACTACCACTGCTCTGGAGCTCCTGCAGCACCTCTCCAGTGAGGATCAAATATGGGTATGGACTATCAGGGAAGGAGTATATCATACACATAGCTAAGGCTCCTCTATGTGGAAATTTAGTATTCAGGGCTGTTCAGCTGACTGTCAGAGAACCATTTTCAGTTGTCTGTAGGCTAAAAACTTCTGCTAATCGTTGTTGTTCACTTTTCTAAGCCTTGTCCTCTGGACTTAGTAGGATTATCTGCCACTCCTGATGAACTGGAGTCATGTGCCAGACAGTTGTTCCTAAGCATAGCTACCCTTGTAGCAGCAGTCCTTCCTCCCAGGTACTCAGCTCTGTGCTCAGATAGAGTGCTAATCCAGGGTAGAGAGGAAGAGTCATCTCAAGCTGTGCATGGGTTTGCTGTTTCTGAGCTGCCAGGCATGTTACCTTTACATGCTGGTGATTTCATAAAACATTTTTTATAAGAATGTCATGTTCTAGAGAGAATATTGTAAAATCTTTGCAGAACAATTCCTGAGAAAAGTCAGAGGAAAAAAAATCTAAACAAAATAATAGTATCAAAGGATTTTAAAAGTCCCCCAATTAGCCTACTACAATTCAGCATTGGAGTAAACTTTGATTATAAAATTCAACATGAAGAAACTGTTATTTCTTGCTCCTGAAGGACAGCAGATCCATTTACTTATGCAGCATTTGGGTATTCATCTTTATTGCTTTACTGGTTTCTTTTAGTTAGATACACAGAGTCTTTCTGCCTCCTTTCATTTTTATGCTAAAGTATACATCACATTCATTTTAAAGATCTAAGTTTCCTAATCTTAAGACCTTTTTACTAAAGGTTTTCTATTTAAGAGCAAACACAAAAAATATCTACACCTGGGAGACAAGCTTTTTTCAATGTGGTTGGTTGAGAATGAGCCACTCAAGTATAATTATTTCTCGAGTCTGAGTCTTGTGTACTACTTGGGACTAAGCCAAGAGCAGTTTTTATTCTTATGTGTTGTGGAGGAATCAGCCCTACTGAAAGCAGTGGAAAAGAATGTGAACTATCACAAGCAAACTGCAGAGGTCACAGATGGAATCTGAAAGCAAAAGCCAGTTGGGGGGCACCAGAAGCAGGGAACCTTTCCAAAGAGCTGGACAATCAGCTGAATTTTCAGGGACTAAGGCAGTGAGAAGGATAAAACTTTTGCAGGGAAACAAAAAATAACTTACTTGAAGCAGTTTTCATCCACAAAGATGTTGAGGGAAACTTACCTCCTGGATTTAGTAAAAAAAAAAAAAAAAAAAGCGGAAGAAATTAGTAAATTGAAGATTGGTGTGGCTCAGTGGCTACATCTAGGAGTTCTGAAGAAGCTTAGGAATGTAGAGTCTTAGCTACTACAGAATAAGTGTGTTTCCTTGATTTGGCTGCTGAAATGTTGCAGCTCCACACAAAGTATGTGCTGGAGGGTTTCTGAAGACTGCAGAGCAGAAGCCATTTCCAAACCACAAAATGTTGGTTAAAACAATATTTAAAAAAACAACCCATAAATGAAACTGAAGTGGAAATATTTGTGTGCATTTCTGGGTTCTGAAGGAGGTGTAACCACATGCAATTATGAGTGAGGTCAGTGTGGACAGCCCCCATCAGAGAACATGGAATCATTTTGGAGCACTCTTTGTCCCTGTGCAGTGAAGGGTAGGGATGAAGAAGGAATGAGATGAGTAAGAATGCTTAAATAGAAGTCAGTGGGGTTTCTCTCACCTGGTAGGCAGAGATCATTTTTGGGTAATGCATCTTGAAAGGAAACTGCAGCCATAAAAGAAGTTTCAGGTTAATCAGAGGACTTTGTATAAGTAGAGAGTAGGAACCAAGAAGGAAGAAGACTGGTAAGAGAGTTTGACAAAGATTTGCCAACTAAGAAATGGTAGAAAGAAGATTTTGGTTACACTTTCATGGCAGGAAAATGCTAAACAAACATAAAAAAACCCAAGCTTAAAACTGATTAAAATAAATCCAGTAATTTGACACAAGAAGATTAGCCAGGAGGAATCTTTGCTGAAAGCAGTCACTAAGGCTACAACTTTGCAAAACTGTAGAAAGGCTCATACATTTGTTTAAATATTAAGAACATACAGAGACAAAATAATTGAAGATTAAAATAAAATAAAATATTTCAGTTCAAGGCAAAAACTAATTGGAAATGAGGCAGAAACTGTTCCTTAGGACCAGAGCCTTTGCTCACCCCTTGGGAAACTTCTTTAGCTTCTGGAACATGTCACTATTAGATAGTGGGCTCACATCTGCTGCAATCAAGCAAGTAATTAATTTTAGTAAGTAGTTAATTTTCATTGGCACACTCAGCCACCTGGAAGGGAAAGTGTGTGCCTCTGGTCTTCAGGGCTCTCCTCACAAGCCCCAGCCTGTGTTGTGTTAGCAAGGGTTTCTGCCTGCACCAAATAATTAGCCTGTGGAAAGCATGTTTTATTAATTGCATACAGCTAATGTTTGACTTTATTTCTTCCCATCTTTCATCCTGTTCTCCCCGCTCCTTTCTGGGTGGACACTACCTCTCCGTGACTGCAGCAACTTGAGGAGATACTCAGCTGGAGGGCAAAATCTTCTTAGCAAGCAGCTCTGGAGTGCCTGAGTGACAGCAACGGTCATGTCTGTTTCGACATAAAAAAAAATAAATACAAATTACAAACAGGCAGCAGCCAAATGCACGAAACCCTGCATGCATCTGATGCTCCAGGCGCTGCCTTTCTGTTGTTTTCCATGGATCCATCGTGTCTGTTTCTGCTGTACGAAGGTGTTTTTAAATCTGAAAAAAAAAAAACAAAACCCAAAAAAAAGACATGTTGTTTGTATAAAATATTTAAAAAACAGGAATAATGCTAAATAAATGACAGATTATCCAACATGCCCCTTCCCCCAGGGCTAAGAAAATGGCAGCAGCTGGAACATCTTTCAGAAATGAAGTGAGGGGGAAAGAAAAAGTGAAGGAGAGAGAAAGAGAGGGCGAACAAAAACGGAGGCGGCTTGAGCAGCGATGGCTGAACTGTGCTCCACAAAGCTATGGTGGAAAGTAACATCACATTCAGGCTGTGCTGTGACTTCAGTCCATGAGAGGTGGCAAGGAGGCCCCAGAGGAGACAGTGAGAAGACTGGGGCTCAAGAGACAGGAGGCACTTCTCTTCCTGTTGCCTGGCAGGCTGACTTCAGCCTGAGTTTCTTCTTCAATTTCTGCACAGTAAGAATGCTATGGAGAGCTGGTTGCTCAGCTGCTGGGTCCCAAAACAGACCTTTTTTAAAAAAAAAAACACAACAAAACAAAATGGGATGTTGATTTAAAACTAAAGGTGGATGTAGGGAGTTAAAAAATGGGTTTAAGTGAATATGACTTAAATAGAAGCTTGTTCTTCAGAGATACTGGTTTTAGAAGCAGCCACTACCTGTCCAAACATGGAGGTTTGAAGCAAGCTTATTTAATTCAACAAAACAAAAGCATTGCATTAAGAGCAGAGATTTTAGAGGAAGAGGGTACATGTATGGGATTTTCTATTTTTTTTTTTTTTCCTTTCTAGTAGCATAGTTGGGATCCACAGTGCTGCAGAACACATGTTCCTTAGGAAGCAGACAAAAAACTTAGTGTTATGTTCTTCATGAAGACTTGCACATACACTCCTATATGAGACATAAATAGCGTGTGTTTTTTATACTGAAATATGTGCACCCATAGAACTAAAGGGGTTACCTGGCCTCCTGTTTGATTCGTTTGGTGTCCGAGTAAAATAGCAGTGGGAGCCAGCAGCCCCAGCCAGGTGCTTCTCCCATCCACTAACCCATCTGATGTTTGTAAGTGTCATGTTTCCTAGTGTTTATTTGGGTAATTTTTCTATTTTTTACAGTGATGTTGTAACACAGAAAACTATCAGTTCAGAACCTCAGAGACTGTCTGAAGGACTCCAGACCACCTCCCTGTGTTGCTTCTGGGTGTTATGTCATGAAGCAGAGGGGAAAGGGAATTAGCACATGTGATCTGATGTTTGTCCTTTGGGCCAGATAATCTTCCTTTTTTTCTTTTTTTTTTTTCTTTTTCCTTTTTTTTTTTTTTTTCTGCAGAAGGAGTCAATTTCCTTTATTCGTGGGTGGGGAATGTGAAAGTGTTTTGTTGACCTTACCAATGAGGGAGCGTAGCCCCAAGAATAAAATGGCCTTTTTGGCTGACCCAATAGGATTTTCCTGACCAAGGGAAGGCATCACATGCAGAAGCTGGGATAGGCTTTTACCTGAATTTCTCTACCCCTAATCACTTTTTGGATCTTTTGAGGGAGTTAAAGTGATTATATTGACAGCATACTGAATGTGAAGCAACCGTTTTACAGACTACACAAGATAAGAAAGCCAGTTAGGAATTTTAATCTTTATTTAACAGAATGCAGAAAATAAAAGCTTTGCGTAAAGTGGAATTCTCTCCACAGATGGCACTCTGCTCCATTTGTTAGAGAGGTGCTATCCCACACCAGGATTAGGTCAGCAAACCCCTGATGAAGGAAAGAACCATCCATGCTTCCCAGGCTTGTCTGAGCAAATGTCCTTTTCTTCCTCCCTCCACCATGCCAGGGAGGAGCCTGGAGATTGAACCCATTGAGGGCAAACACTAGATTTTATTATTTCAAAACATTTTTTATGACAGCACTAAGCCAATGAGTGAAGTGGAAAAGTGAAAAGCCTTGATATTTTATTCAGGTGTTTTTTTTAAAGCCACGAAGAGAGAGCAAACAGGAGGTTACAATTATGTCATAAAAAAGACATACAAAACATTATGCATGCCTTCTTTAGGTCTGATCTTCCTTGTCTCTACCTGATCATGATTAATAATTAAAAAGAAAACCCTCTGTATTAAGTAATTGCATCTTTCAGAGAAAATTTAAAAAGAACTTGAGTATTTTGGTTTTGCACAGTCTTGGAGACAAGCTCTCTTTGGGTTGTTTTTTTTTGTTTTGTTTCTAAGTTAATGAGAACCTTAGCTTGGTATGGCCATTATCAAAC